TTAATTTTTGAAAGGTGAAAGCTCAAATATATTAAACTTTCTTGACGCAATCATCAGTTAAATGATCAATTAATGATGAATTATAATAAATTAAGGGACTTATGTGGGCCTCAACGCTGAAAAAAAGTTTTGTCAATTAAAAGTAATTTTACAATCCATATGAAAACTAACTGAACCTAAAACTTTTCTGAGAATTTCTAGAGGGTTATTCTATTTAATTTAAAACTGTGATAAATGATTTGTTTTTTATCGTTATAACTTAAATGCGTCTAAGTTTATTAAATTGAAAAAAAAAAATAATAATACAAATTTCTCTTAAGCTATTTTTAATTTGAAATGTGAATATGTGAAAGCTTGCGTAATGTAAATATGTAATGCATATTTGGTTTTTAAAGTAAATCCAGGAAATATATTAGTTTTAAAAATTTTATGATTTAAAAAAAGCTTCGATAAATGCTTCAAATTATTTTTGAATGAAATTTGATTTTTAACTTTAATGCATTTGAGCTAATTCAATTTTTTAGAAGGAAAATATAAACTTTTTTGACTATTTTAAATTTATTTACTGGTTAGAAGGTAATATTTTGTCCCTGGGCCGTAGGATGTGCACCTCTATTTTAACATTTTATTCTTATGAATTTTTTTTTTTTTTTTTTTTTTTTTTTTTTTTTTTTTTTTTTTTTTTTTGTTGTTGTTTCAAACACTTGTAAAATTTATCATATTATTTGTCATTTTTTATTTTAAACCAGAGTTTCGGTTCGACAATTATAATTTTATTTGTTTATTTTATTGGTAAAATTATCATAGTTATGTTGATAAATTATATCCCACTCCATATTTCTTAACATTAATGGGAATTTTTCTAAAGCTACTAATAATCGCGAGATCTAGGAGAAATTTAGGTCCAATAACAGACTCTTAACAAAATGTGTTTATCGTTAAAACCCTTCACAAATTATTTTATTTTAAAGTCGTTTATGTTTTTAAGGCGTATTATTCGTTAAAAAAATGGAGTATATCACGTCTTTAATTCTTAATATTAAAACATACGACTCTTCGAAACACTTTCTCACAAAATTATAAATTTTTTCTCAAATATAAGCCTTTTAAAATAAACAAGTTGTCGATTGTACTAGTTGATATTTATTAAATAATTCTTCGCATACTTAGAAAAAAGCTATGCAAAAAAAATTTATATTAGAACTAAATGTTGGCTAAAACTAATCTTGCAAAACCTATGAATTCATTAAGGAAATTTCGATCAAAAATTTTCGAATCACTTTTCCTATTAATTCTTCGAATTATTTTTAATTCGAATTATTTCTGTAGTTAGAATGGGTCGCTTGACAAAGTTAAGAAAATGCAAATGACTTATGTGTCGTTATCGGAAATTCTGCTTTTAGATGTCGTTAGAATCGATTGGAAACAATTATTTATCGATTATGGCAGATTTTATTTATTATTTACGAACATACTTAATAAAAAGTTAATAAAAAATAAATAAATTCTATGTGTTAACAAACATATTATTTCAATAAATACATCGAGAAAATTTCGATCTAGAGAACTTCCGAGCAACAACTATTCTCAGAAACAGATTTCACAACTATCTGTGAATTTTCCTATTAATTCTTCGAATTACTTCTAATTCTAACTAATACTTTTTCTCATTAATTCGAAGAAAAAAATCCCTTTTCTCATTCATCTGTTGGGTCGTTTGACAAAGTTAAGAAAATGCAAATGACTTATGTCTCGTTTTCGGAAATTCTGTTTTTAGATGTCGTTAGAATCGAATGGAAACAATTATTTATCGATTATTACAGATTTTATTTATTATTTACGAACATACTTAATAAAAAGTTATTAAAAAATAAATAAATTCTGTGTGTTAACAAACATATTATTTCAATAAATGTATCGAGAAAATTTCGATCTAGAGAACTTCCGAACAACAACGATTCTCAGAAACAGATTTCTCAACTATCTGTGAATTAGGAAAATTGATTTGGTATTCTCATTCATCTAATTGTTTAAACGGATTGCTTGACAAAGTTAAGAAAATGCAAACGACATTTGATTCGGTATCGAAAATACCCAGTTTTCGATGTCGCTAGAATCGAAGCAGTAACTTTCTCTTTGTCGTCTGCATCCCAAGAGCAATAAAAAGAAAAATGTTCAACTTTTCCTCCATCGTCCAAAAGTTCGGCGGAGGGAAAACGGGTGAACATTTTAACGTAAGTGCCTCGGCTCAAAGGAAAGGGAAAATCGATAAGTTGCGCCTGCGCGTCGGCTTCTTGCTCACCCATCTCCAGAGAAGAGCAGGTGGGTGAAAAAAAGGAATAGTTTTAGGATGAAACTTGCTCTTCTGAGCCCTACAAACTTTGTTGCAAGCTTTTTTGCCCTGCGTTATTCCAGCTCTGTTGAACCATTGATAACTAAATATTTTTTAGCGTTAACTTCCATGAAGCTATTTAATGAATCTTTTTTTTCCCTTTTATTTTTGTTGTATGTTTTTTAATTCCATCGAGATTTCGTTAGTAAATTATTTCTAAGATTTTTTTTTTGTCTATGCCTCAATGTTGAATTAGAAATCGATGACGAAGATCAACTTGAGAGGGGGCGTTTTCACTAATAGTTTTGGAAAGCATTATCTTATTTTTAAAAAAATCAGTAAAACAACTTTAAAAGTAAAATCTCGTGATCAAACAATAATTATTTAAATTATTATTAAATTATTTAATTATTAAAATTATTAAATAAACTAAATTGAACACAACTTTTCAAACTTTTTTAAAAATATTTTTTAAATAAACAGCTATTAATATTTCATATTGAAGCAAAAAGATTTAAAATTATTTTTTTTTTTCCGATTGTTTAAAATGCACAGATAAATTTTCCATGGTAACTTTTTTTCCACTTAATTCAAATTATCATTTTTCTTCTTAACTTTTAAAATTAAATTATTTAATTCTAGTGCAATATACTTGCATTTTTTTAAAAGGTTATTTTGAAATATTTTTTACATCTCTCAAGCTATTGGTGCAGATTAGTGTCATTTTAAATTATTAAAAGGAAGTTGACTTAAGTTTTCTATTGATATCTGTTTAATATAGAATTATTTAAATTAGGTTACTCAAGGACTTTATTTTTGTGCTTAAACCTTTAAGTGATATTTTATATCCAATGTTTTCCATTTTCTTTAAAAATTTCGAATTTGAGAAGAAAAAAATTTTGCTTTCTATGAAAAATCAGTATTTCAAGAAAATTTTTTGTACTTTTGTAGTTTGTTTTTCAAATTTAGAAATTGCTGGTTCTACACGAACTTTAACAAAAAAAGCCTTTGCAACCATCATTTTGTTTAATATCACTTTGGAAAACTAATTCTTACAACTCACTAGTATGAGTAGTATAATCAAAAACTTTCTTTAGAAAAGGCATAAAAATTTAAAATATCTCTAATGTTTCCTAAATTGTTAGAGAACTTGAAACAGTGCATATGACTATTTTCGTTACTCATTATAAATTAAGATTTTATTTTTTGAACATTCCTTACTTTTTATTAATATCAGAGAGACAGTACTGTAACAAAAATTTTAGTACTTATTTTATTATGGTCGTCATAAAATAATTAAAAGTAACAAAGGAGACTTAGATTTTCATCTCATATGAAAGCAGTAAAAATACTTTCTTAATGAAAAATTTTGTTATTTTCGTACTAAACAATAAAAGAAATACGAAGGTAAAATAAAACATAGAAAGTATAATTCTGTAGTGCTTCAACTGAGGAGTTGTAATTATCGACCAAATCAACCTTCAACGATTAAAAGGTACCTCAAGATAGAATCAAGTTAGAATGTCTTATATTCTAGTGAATTGGTATTTAATATTTATAGTGGTAGTTAGGCCACACAACTCTAATAATAATGGTGTCTCACGTTAGCTCTGTAAAAAGTTTCTTTTTAAGATATTTAGATTAACGTCAACTAATTCTCTCAATATTTAAAAAAATAATAATCCTTCAATTTTAATTACATAGAAATTATTGCAAGTAGAATAATGTTAAAACAACTCAATATATCAATTTGATTAAATAAAAAGATCAATTTGGAGCCATCGAAATTTGTTTTAAAACTTGTTTTTATTAGAATATCTGAAAATTATTTTATTGTTATAAATTTTCTATAAAGTTATCAAAACTAAAATTTCTGTCACCAGTTATTTTACTTTAACTGTTTTTAAAGATTATATGCTTCTTTTAAAAAAAGCTGTGTGATCTTTTTTTTTAATTCAGTTTTTAATAATTTTATTTATTACATTCATGTAAATAAAATTATCATGTATTTTGCATACTTGGGCCTCTCAAACTTTTAATGATTGCATCTTTGTGGGAGAAAATATGATTATTATATAAAAAGTTTGTCTAATGATATGTTATTTTACAAGCGCAGTTTTACAAAGTCTGCAGTATCTAGAAAATACTGTCAAAATTTTTAAATATTAAATTCAAATAAAACTATTTGGTACCTCTAAATAATGTTTCTAATTAGTTACGAAATATTTAATTATTTTTCAAATTACTAATGCAATAATAAGCAAAATTGTTTGCTGTATTTAAGAACAAATTCTTGTGGAAGTTTATTTTATGCAGACAATTAATAACAATAATTTCATTTTTCAAGTTATAATTATAAATTCGAATATAAATTATGAATTAAATTTTTGATTTAAAAATTTGGTGTTGTAATTATTACGAACTTTTAACTCTCCTTAAATTTGAAATTGTTTAAAAGTATTTTAAACATATACCATAAAAATTTCTAAAAAAGAAAACTAAATTAAAAATTTATGCATGAAAAAGCTAAATTAAAGCTGAAATGTAGTCTGCAAGCAAGAAGAAAGGGTCAATATTTTAATATTATCTTTTTCTTCCTGATCGAATCATTATCCTATGTTCTACTGTATGTACTTTAACATTTTTAAAATCTCTTATTTTCTTATAGAAACAAGTTGTTGAGGGCTTGAGAAAAAATCTAGAAAAGCCTAGTCCAAATACATGTTCCACAAATGTTGCAGCATTTACTGTTGCTTCACAATCACCTAGACCACAAACACCAAATCAAGAAACACAAGTTGTAGGCTCACAGAGGAGTCCTCTAGCAAATAATAAACTGACAACGGTAAGTAAATACCTTTTGTGTACTTCCATGTCTAATTACTTGTAGTTAATTTGATTAACATGTTGAAAGATAGCATAACTGTACAATGTTAATGACAATTCTTGTCAATTGACAAAATATTTTCCAGCTCTTCAGAATTATTTGTTAAAGCTCCATTTGGTGTAAAGAAAAATGGAGATCATCCAGCTCTCTGTTTTAACAAATAATTCCAAAGATGCTGTACAGCTTTCCTTCACTTGTGAGTAACATTCTTGGTTTCTGTACAGCTTCCCTTCAATTATGAATAATATTGATGCATAGTACACAGCTTCCCTTTAACTGTGAATGACATTCTTGAATGCTGTACTACTGTTCTGCAATTGTGAATAACATCCATGGACATTGTACTGCTTCCTTTCAATTACAAATAACATACATTGATGTTGTACAACATAAAATTATTTGTACAACTTAACCTAAAATTCTTTGTACAACTTAATCTAAAAATTACAATATTTAATGTTGTGAAGAAATTAACATTATAATAATGCTAATTTCAATATCAATTATATAATTTATATTTTGATGGCATATTTCAAGCAGCATCGTTTGAAAACACAAAAGAGTTCATAATTAAACACCTGACTATATTTGTTAGAAATAGTTAGTAGTTTTGTAGGAAGTAAAAAGGCAAACAATTAAGTTTTCTGTAGTAATTATGTTTCTTTGTTGTGCATTAGTTCCTTCTTATCCATTGCGTCTATAAATATGAACACTATTTTATAATTAAATTTTAAATTACAAGTTGATATGTAAACTACTTATGAGTAGTGAAACACATCATGATTCAATCATTCTTTTATTGATTTGTAAATCATTACATTCTACCACACTCTTAATCTTCATAAAAACAAGCTGTAAGAAGTGCATAAGTCAAGAAACAAAACTATATCTAGCTTTGTTGCTAAGCTACAAATTTACTTCTTTCCAATTTATAAAATTTCCTAAGAGTTCACTCTGCTTTACAAATCTGAAAATGTTCGAATAGCTTTCAGTAAACTACTTTTTGGGCTTTGTTATAATGAAATAAGGCTTTTAACTACAATAGCGTAGAATATAGTGAAAGTTAAGAGAATGAACCTAGAAAGTCTTCTAATTTTAGAGTGGGTCAGAAGTTGTTTGAGATAGATTCAAATGCTTTATTTTTTTTCTGGAACTAAATCGAGGGTGACCAATCTTTTGTATGTCAATTGCTAACTTTTTAGACAGATGAGTTGGAATGCATCATTAAATTGTTCAATGCATTGTTCATTGCACAAATAAATTATCTCCACTTCTTGACATATCAAAGCTTATCACCTTAAGTTTAAGTGACAAAGCTCTTGTGTTAGTCACAACTTTTTATGTTTGGATTAAATTATGAGTAATAATAATAAATGTAATAAGTATGAATAATAAATAAAAAGATAAAAAAAATTATTCAAAACTTATCTTATAAATGAAATTTTATAAATAAAAAAGCAAAAACACTTCTGAAGTTCTGTTTATCTATTACATCTGACATTTTGGTGATTTTCCTTAAAATTTGTGGAACACATAATCAATATTTCAGATTTAAAAAAATTTTAAAGCCATATCAGAATTTTTGCATCCTCCTGGGCATGCCAGGCAATTTAACTTGCAAGCTCCCTTGGTACATATATATATATAAAAGAAATTATATTTGCGAACATTGTTTAAACTTTTCTGAAATTTTTAAGTGTATGTTTCATTAAAAATTGTCAGATATTAATTTATTCATGTGTTAACATTCAATTTAAATAATGTCCTATCTCAAATTTTCAAACCTTTTCTGTTTGCAACTCTATTTTGCAGACCCTAGTGACTAAGCCCATAACTAACTGTATAAATACAGTACGCCAAACAGTGCCTCCAACAATAAACAATATTGCCACTCCTGCAGCTACTACATTTACTTTCAAAGCTCCAATGGGTACAGTTGTCCTGCCGAACTGTTCAACAGCTGCTGCCAGTACATTGCTGACAACAAAAGTTGCTGAACATCAAAAAATTCATCCAGTACTTGTAGTGCCATCTCCGTCCAATCGTACTGCTGATGGTGCACAAGTATTGCTAAATTTGGTTCCACCAATCAGAGTGCCTCAATATCCTCCGCCTTCACCTCGTACCCCTGCTCCTCCAGTTGTATGTATCTTTACTTCTGATTGTTAAATTAAATTTTTAATTAACAAGATAGTTTCCTAATAATTCATTAAATTAATTGTAATTGCTGGGGGGGAAAATTTTTCTTTCAAATTTTGGACATAATTGTTTTTAAAGTTGAATTTTAATGTGAAGATAAATCTTTTTATAATTCTGCCAAATAAATAAAATATTGCATTTTCTGGTGTACAAGTCAACTCCCCATTTTTAATTTCAAAAGAGTTTATGTGTGCGTCTGGTATATGAATCGACTACTGATTTCGCATTATGTAAAGAACTAATCAAATTTCTTATCAAATATAGAATTCTATTGTGGGCAGAAAAAAGCAAGAAATTAGTTTTCAGAATTAAAGACAATCAAGGATCTTTTCACTACCTTATATTATAAAACATAAAGGGTGTGTAGCGTTTTTAAAAAGTACTTAAAGGTGCTTATTTTCGTTTTTTGAAAGCCCTTTAAGGGGCTTTTTTCACTTGGTGTTTTTAAAAAGTGCTTAATTTTCCCTTTTCCAAAATTAGAATTTTTTTCTTCACCTTGTCGATTTTCGCCACGTATTATGCATTTTCTCATTGTTCTATTCAACGTTTTTACAATTCGTTCACCCACAATCTATTTCGGTGTACTCTTGGTCCATAGCGTATGAAAGCGCTAATCATTTTACCGGTTTGATAAAATACTCGTGAGTCCGCTTGTGTACTCAGCTGAGTTTGATGAGATTATTGCACTCTCATGTGCAACTCAGCTGCATTTCTCAATTTCAGGCTTCATTTCCACCCTCTGATATCGAATTGAAAAATCTCTTGATCATTTTATAATGACTAATTAATCAAAAAAAGAGTTCTTTGTCAGAAACTAGTTATTTTATCATAATTATGTAAAGTTTTTGAAAATTATTTTGCATTTTGCTAATGTATATAGTGCTTAAAAATATTTTTTGAGTGCTTGAAAAGTACTTAAAAGGTGCTTATTTTTTGTTGAAAGATATGGCTATGCACCCTGATAAAATTTATAGGTAAAATAATGTGTACTATTCAGACTACATGCCAATTTTTGCTTTTTCACTTTCAAGTATTCTATTACTGCTTCTCATGAATTCTTGATATTCAATCAGTTTGAAGAATGTAAATCATTTTTCTGATGATTGGCATTTTCTGCCAAACATTCTAGATGCTTGAAAAAATGTTGATACAGTGAAACCTCACTGGAGCGACCACTATCTGTTCCACAGTGAAATGGTTGTTAATGGAGGTTGGTCGTTCTTAGGGGATATCTCCATTGACTTCAAAATGTTATCGAAGATACATGATTTTTAACAAAAGATTTTAATTTTAGTCAATGTCATTTTCTTGGGGCGGAAATGTCACTTGTCATCATTGGATGGTGTCGAATCCTTTGTAAAATCGGACGCAATAATCGACATATAAAGGTTTTGGTTGTGTTATTCTAATGTTGCTTTTTTGTACAGTTATTAAAGAAATCATGATTTTAAAAAAAAAAAAAAAAATGAAAAGAAATCGGATTTATTTTATTGGAAATTTTTTTTAATTAGATAACTAGTAATGTTTTAAAAATATTACATTCTTACAGACATAAAATATGCAATTTAAATGTAAAGTAACAAATATATAAGATTAAATTTTAAAGATGTTAAATGTAATTGAAATACTTGACTAAAATTGTAAGTATTACTTAAAATCTTTGGAAATGATATATCTTTCAAATGTACATTCAATAAAGTATTTCAATATCATATTATAAAATTAACTATCTGGTAAAATGAATTATTGTATATTTGATGAATATTAGACTATTTTAGTAGTTTACCATTCAACACAAGTTAAGACACTCATATTTAGAAGGGGGGGGGAATGAAATGAGTAAAATTAAATAACTGGAAAGGTTATTAGATTTTAAGGGATATTTTTAAAAAACTGTATGAAAATTTTTTATTTATGCATTTGTGAAATTGAAAGAGTAACGATATGGTTAAAGAAAACTTACTCCAGATAAATTAAATATTTTAGATAATACCATAACGTATTTAACTCTTTCTAAAATATTATTTAGGCATGAAATTTAGGGACTAAAAAATTAGCTTAATGGATTTTCATTTCCCAATTTATTACTAGTTTTAGTGTGTATCTACTTAGTCTAGAGTGTACTAAACCTTACTCAGAAAATTATAAATAAACATGATGCGTAGAGTTTTTAAAAAATACTTAAAGGTGCTTATTTTCAATTTTTATTTTTAAAAGCCCTTAAAGGTGCTTTTTTCATTGGGTGTTTTTAAAAAGTACTTAATTTTCCCTTTTCCAAAATGAGATTTTTTTTCTTTACCATGTCGATTTTCACCACGTGTTACGCAAAAGCGTGCTTTTCACATTGTTCAACGTTTTCACAATTTATTTTGGTGTACCATTGGTCGATAACGTCTGAAAGCGTCAATAATTTTACATGTTTGATGAAATACTTGTGAGTTCACATGTGCGTCTACTGAGCTGGGTTCAGTGAGACTATTGCACTCTCATGTGCAACTGCTGCATTATGCAAGATATTTGCTATTTTAGGCTTCATATTTCACCCGCTGATATCGAATCGAAAAATCTCTTGACCATTTTATAATGGCTAATATGATCAAGAAAAGAGTTCCTTCTCAAAAACTAGTTATTTTATCATGTTCATATAACGTCTTTGAAAAATATTTTACATTTTGTTAAAGTATATGGTGCTTAAAAATGTTTTTGAGTGCTTAAAAAGTACTTAAAAGGTACTTATTTTTTGTTAAAAGATTTGGCTAACCTTTCCCTGAAGCACAAGTTAGCAAGTATTTTCTTGTCTGTAACTGCATAAAAATTAGAATTTCAAATATATAATACACCATTTCTCTGGTGACATTTGAAATACACCTTTATCAAAAAAATATCGAAATAGAAAGAATCTTTCCTAGCCATATATAACATAACTAATGCTGTAAAATTAATCGAATTTTCTTCTCAGCTTAGGCAAAATCTTTCGTTTTCATATTCATTTCTTTTTTTGCCTGATAAATGTGAACCAATCAAACAAATAAATTAGGAAATTACATCATATCACTTAATTGATGCATTGGAAAAAAGTTTGCATGTTTTTTATACAGTGACCTCTCACTTATGCACCACCTCTTTTATGCACCTTTTTCATTTATATGACGATTTTTATAGGTCCCAGTACATTAGGTAGGAAAATAATGATAAACATCCTTCGTTTATGCGTCGCTCTAAAAATAAATTTTTCAATTATGCGCCGAAATTTTAGGCTAACATTTAAATTTTTTAATCCTTTAAATATTTTTTCTTTTTTAAAAAAAATGTCTTAAATGAAAAATGAAGCAAATGAGCAATCCTTGTTACTGATACAAAGAAATATATGTTGTTAGATCCAATTGAATTTGCTTCCCCCTGTGACCTTTTCATCTTTGCTGTTTCTGGAAAGACATTCTTTCTAGAATTTTGAATAGAGTGTCTTATCTGTTACGCCAGCAACAATGAAAGCGCATTCATCTCTTAGAAAGTGACCATTCCTCTTGTCCAGAGGTTAGTTTTACACCCGTGCTGTTTTCTAGAGAAAAAAAAATGGACATTATGAGTAAATAAAAGGTGATCTGTTTTGACAGAAGTACTTGAACAACATATTGTGCAGCATATTATGACGTCAAGTACTTTTCTTAGAAATTTATCATGTGATGTTTCACCCCCTCCCATAAAACTCAAATTTTTTGTGAAGAACTGTTCATTTATATCTAACTAAAACTTGTGAACGATGAGAACGTGGTGGATGATGCTTACGAGATGATAAAGTTCCTCCAAATCACGCAGCAGTATTGAGAGCTTTAGACACTATTCATGACTATTTACAATTTAATTTTGCTTCTGAAACTCCCCCTTATCCCATTTATATGAACTGGAAAAAACTGCTTTTGAATAATGTCGGCAAAAACAAATACAAGCATGCATTCAGATTATTTTGTAAGAAAATAAATTGTCTTAAGGTATGTTAAATTTTTTCTTTGTATAAGTATAGTACTAAATACCAAAACAGTATAAATATTAACATTTAATCTTTAGAAACATATTTATTCATATTGTCACTGCAATTTACGTTGCGTTTTCGAATTTTGAAGTTTTTCACTTATGCGCTTTTTTCTCTTGGCCCCTTGCACCGATGCATAAGTGAGAGTTCACTGTATGTTGTAAAGCAGTTTTGATAACTGTATGATAATTATAAAAAGTGTGAAGAACATTTCTGATTCTACTGATGAAGAATGCATGGAAAAGAGGGTATTTTATTTATTTTAAAATAGCTTCCCTTCTCTAAAAAATATATACACTTATTGGCACAGAATTTATTTTAAATAAGTAACTAATTTTAGTTGCAATAACTTTTACACAAAAATGATAAATTGTTATATGAGATGTTAAGAGGGAAAATTTTTTGTTTTAAATCGGTGTGCCCTACTTTTATTTATCTTATAGCCTAAGTTAATTTTTTATATTTCGGAATTTTTTTTTATTAAAATGTCATATACCAAGAAGGATTTTTTCTTTTGGTAGTCTATTAGACGAAAGGTCGGTAGTCTATTAGACGAATGTTTAGTTATCTGGAGTTAATAAAATTGGACATATTAAGATACTTATTGTAAATTATTTTGTACAGCTAGATTATAGTTTTTGTGGTATTCAATACCTATTTTTAATGTTTTTCTTGCCAAAAATATGATTGCTGAGATTTTGCATGCCATAACAGTTGGATGAAATGGCTTTAATTAAAAATTTTAAATAGTTAATCAATGATTTATGTTGGATTTTTATATTGTTCCTATTTTTGAAATCTCTCTCTTTGTTTTGTTTTTAAGCAGACTTGCCAAAAGAATACAGCTATAAATAGCTGTAATCCCATAGCTGTAGCCAACACCTCCACTACGTTTCAAACAACTCAATTCTATGTCAACTCGGATTCTTCATGTGACAGTCCACCTGCCACCCTGAGTGACAAATTTCAACCAAATAATACAATTGATACTATAGAAAACAAATTGGAACAAAAAGTAAGATTTTAAATTTTTAATTGCAATTTTTTGTTATACTTTTAAGTATGTGTAAATAAATACATATACTTTTATAAGCAAATAAGTAGTTGATGCTCAGTATAACAACCTTAGTCATCCAAATGCATGCAAAGAAATGTCATGGGTGAGATTGCCATATTATGAATATGGAAATATGCCACAAATATTTACTCATACAATAAAAAATACTAAATTAATTTGATGAAGAGATAATTTTACTCTTTTAAGTCTTAATTATATTTTTGAAATCAGTGAAAAATTAAAAAACATATTAAAAAGATTATGTTTAAAAAAGCATCACAGCAAAAAAATTTCTCTAAATACTTCAGAGGAAAAGTTATAGAAGTTTTAATGTTACTTATCATTATTCCTGTCCATAAAGATTCTGAAGTTAATAAAGGTTTTTTTTTTCTTCATTTTTCCAGAATTAAACAAGTTAAAATCCATTTTTGGAACGGTTTTTTAAAAGAAGCAATGATGAAATGAATGCGTGAAATGTAATTTAGAAAGATAAAAAACATTACTCTTAGAACATTTTATATTATTAATTATTTGGTAGTGTCGTCAAGGCAATTGTATATTAAAAATAGTTATATATATTGAATTAATATTTTTATGCAATTATTCAAATATTTATTTTTAGAAGCATATATTAAATAACTTAACTGCATGTTAAGGTTATATATTTTTTATGGTGGTTACTAGGAGTATTTATAAGCTTTTTCCAAAATTATTCAATTCAATTTGATGAGCAATCAGATAAATATTATTTAGTAAACCTAACTGGATAAAAATGTTTGTTCTCTTGCTTTTAGTTGCATGTTATTCTAAAATTATAACTGCTATATTACTTGGGAAATCAGTTCTTTTGTTAAATAATGTATTCTTTGTTTGCTTTGTCTTGAAATATTTTATGCATAATGCTTGATATTATTTAAAACAATTTATAACAGAATTTCATTCTTTACTTTCAGAAAAAATTAGAATTTCTTACAGCATTGGGACTTGTAACAAGAGATTCTTTGTGTGACTTGAAAAATAAGAGAATGGAGCGAAAGCGCAGATCTACAGCAAATCCTCAGTTCTCTAATGCTGCTTTAGAAGAAAAATGGCGTATTGCAGCAGCAGCTCAAGCATCTACAGCTCCTCAAAAAAGACCTAGAGGTTATTAATGGATTTTTTTGATTACTGGTATTCTCATATTGTGTTTTACGCAAACATATTTATTGTTACATGATTCCTTGACACTTTTCCTTTAAAATGCATTTTTATAATTATTCCTAAATTTTGTAGTATTTCAGAGTTTCCACAGGACAAGGATAACAGGAAAAAGTCATTGAACTTTATCTAATTAGAAAAAAAATCAAAGAATTTACTCATAAATCAAAGAAAATGAATACATTTATCTTTGAGGTCTGTAGAAGTCCAATTGGTCTTGCAATAATTAAATTTTTTTTTTACATTCAACTTAATTGTCATGTATAATGGTCTTAAAATTTATTTTAAATTTGTGAATAAGACCTAACCAAAACATTAATAATAAAATTTATCCCACCAGGTATGAAAATCGGATAAATTTTTATAAAATCAATCGGTGGTAAAACTGAGGGAAATTTTTTTTCAGAGTGTTTGCTGTCAACCTTATTTTTATGAATGCTGATTGATAGAATGTTTTATTATTATTTTTTATCCAAGTGGTATGAAAAATAGTGTAGTAAGCATTTAAGGGTTTTGTGGGGTTATTACATTGGTTACATCAGTTATTTCATATTTTTTGTGTGACTTTTTACAGGTGCTTGGAGTAAGGTTTTTACTTTTGATTTAAAAGAGTTAGAATTATTTTATTAATTGTTGTGATTCTCTTTTACTCTTTTTATCTTTTTAACGTGTAGATAAGAAAAGAAAGCAAAGTAACTACAATTAACAGTACTGAATTTATGGTTCATGCATTCTTTTCTAAGATGAATGTTTCTATTCTCCTTAGGCATTACGCATATAACTGTGATGTTTTTAGGTATAATATTTATTTATTATTGGTAAAATTATAATGTAATAGTTTATCGCTTTTTAATATTTATCACTGAAAAAGAAAACCTATTATTAGCTTGAAGTTAATTGCTGTTTATTTTGAAAGTGAAAATTGATTGTAAAAGGTTAAGTATTAAATTTATTTTTTGATTTGATGATTTAAAAGCAGTACAGTCCACATTATCCGTGAGTGGATTATCTGTGATGCAAATTATCCTTAAGTTCATAGAAATATTGCAGATTTTATTGTGCATGATTTTTTTCTATGTAAACTCACTTTTTTTTAACATTTTTATGTATGAATGTTTTCATGAAATCTGCATGTACTAATTATTAATTTGTTCTATTTTAGTGATTTAGACATAGAACAAAAATTTTTGTTGTATGTTTAAATATAAACACATGTATGCATACATTTTAAAAATTTTTTTTGCATTTCCACCTTACTTTTTTAGTTTGTTTGGATTATCTGCAATTTTTACTATCGCCATGCCCTTGCCACCCAGTTCTGTGTATTATCAGGGCTCTACTGTAATTAACTATTTTCTCCACTGAGAACTATTTTGAATTACTTCAAAAATAAATGTGGCTGTATCAACTGTTGACTAATATTTTATGTATAAGTTGTTTTGTTTTGTTTTTTTAATTCTTTTAATTTAAAAACTCCATTGAAATTATTATTTTGACTTACGAAATGAAACATGTAAATCTCCCTGCATTTAACCTTAACAACTTAAGTGGGAAAAAAAATGTTGTGTACTGTTGTAGCTGTGAATGTAACATACTTATTTCTGATTGCAGGTCGTCCTCGTTTGGAAACTAAACCAGTTGTTTGTCCCACTAACGGAATTTGTCCAGCAAATGAAGATAAACCAGCTGAAGTACAGCCACCTCAAAATAATGCCCCTATTGTAATGACAACTAACTCATGTTCAGTTAACTCAACTCCAGCTGTTTCATCTCTAGCTAATTCATCTCCTAACTCATCTCCAATTAACAGTTCAGTTACTGTTGTAAATGGAATTCATAAAGCTCTCTCTCATTCTGATGAAGGAAAGGTATAATTTTAGTTGTCACCAGTTTTTACTGATTATACTTTATATATGTTTGTAAAAAATTATCACTGAGTGAAAATTGAACATCGCAATATTACTAAGCACCAAACCAACTGGAGAAGTCTTAGGCATTTCTTAATCTGATACATTTGAAACTTATTGCAATCAGGTCCCACTTTATTAAGCCTAAGAATTGTTGGACTAGTTTTATTTTGTAACTGATATTAAACTGCCAACCCATACTAAGAACAACCCATATTATAACTTTTGAATATACGAATCTTTCAACTCTGTAATTTTGAACACCACCCAGAAGACACGGGAACTCCTGAATCAAGCCCTGATATAAACTAGCTGCTAAAGGCAACAGAGGTTGAAGACAAGTCACATCGGTTGAAAAGAGTCTGATGCGAGAGTACCAGTTAAGAAGCAGCATACTAGATAGTTAAAATTAAGGATAAAATCTGAAGCAGGAGTACCAGTAAAAAACAAACCTTACTAACAGTTGGTGAGAAAAATGGAACCTGGAAAAAAATATAAAGTTTGGTTCATGATGTTTCAGGCAAACAAATAGAATCCAAAGGAGAATACAGATTAAAGAAAAAAGAAAAGATTAATAAGAATGATGCTCTTAGTAAAGTATCTTTAAAAGTCTTAAATTAATGCAGATATAAGTTTAAAAACAATTTGTCTTTTATTTTGAATTAATCTTTGGAACATTATATGTTATCTTACATGTGGTCATTTGTGGTCATTTGAATTTAATGGAGTATTAATTTTGTAACTGGACTGTTCCAAGCTAACTTAATTACTAATGAAATAATTAAAATGTGATTTCATTTGTAAAACATAATAGCCAATAAAGAAAAAAATATTCATTTATTAAGCTGCATTTAAAATACATGTACCTAAATTATACTAAGGTATTAAATGTAAGTAGTTAAAAGGGAAAGATTTTAGAATGTAAAATGAAATTGTTTTTATAGAATGTTGAACAAATGTTGTCTGGATTATGCATTGTGTGCACGCAACCTGGTGATCTAGTAAAATGTGATACATGTGCTAAACAACAACATCTTGGTTGCATGCAGCCACCATTGATTGCAAGACCACAAGTTCCGTGGCAATGCAGTGAATGCCAGTCTAGGACTGTCTCTCTCACTGTTGTACAAAATTATGACATGCTCAAAGCAGGTTTGTCTATTTAACATTCAATATTATTAATTAGTGGCTCTTAAAACAAATGCTTTTGAACTCTAATTTTGACTAAGCTGATTAAAAGAAATATGTAAGGTGCAAATGCATTTTCATCAGTGGTATTATTTGGCTTAGAAATTTGTATTCATAAACAAAAATTTTGAGTGAAGCAAAAAAAATAAAAATAATGTATTTTCAGTTTGAATTTTGTCACAAAAAAATTACATAATAAAAGGTTTTAAACAACACATTTAATCTTTAAACTGATTAAACTTATATTAATCTTTAAACTGCATTTGCATAAATATTTTTAATCTTCATAGTTTTTGTTAACAAATTAAACATTTAATCAAATTATACTTTTAATTGAATTTTGAAGGTAAATTTATCAGTGAGTTATTTTATCTTTTACTATAAATTACGCAGCTTATAGAGTAAATTTAGATTTTTTGCACGGTAATGGAATACAACCAAATAGCATAACATTTTGGTATATATGCGTATATTTATAACATAAAATTATATTTTTTATCTATTTGAGCTGTAAACAATTTAAAGTAATTGACTGAGTTTTTTACTTATTTAAATTTTTTTATGAATAAATAAATTAGCTCTAATGCTATAACATTTTCTTCTTTATTGATCTGACATCCCTTTGTTGATCAAGGCCTTATTTAGAATTTCTTCCCTACGAAAATCTAGTGCTCATTAATGTTTAAAATAAATGCCAGAGAATTTCTTTGTATCCATATAAAAGCTGCAATTTTGCATTAAGAATTCTAAGAAATTCTAAAAAATATGAAAATAAAGCTTTTTATGCTTTGGAAAAGGATCCTGAATAAAATTTGTTGTGGGGTGGGTAAACTTTGTTTAGCCTTAGATATAATTATTTTCTCTCCACTGTTGCACTGCTGCTTTTGCGGGCTCAGCATAGATAGGGTTCACTGAAATCAAACACAGCAGTTCTACTGTTAGGGTAAATCTCTATTGTTTGTTAAGGTATGTATCTTTAGTAAACATGTAATAAATTGAACTAAAAATAATATTTATAGCTGTAATGGCCAATAAATAAAGATAACTTGAAAACAACAGAACATTAATTATACAGTTGCCATAGTAAAACAAATTTATCTACACATGTGCCATGAATTAATTAACATGAATACGCCAATATGGTTGGACCTTCTTCCTGACTAGTAGAATGAAATTCAAAGATTGTTCACTAGATGACCAAACTAATTTTTGAAAAATTGAGTTAAACGGTTTTACTCCACATTATTCATTTTAAACAAATTTTTTCTTAATTCATTTTTTAATTTTTCATTCATTTAAATATAATTTATTATGATTATGCCAAAAATTTGTATAATTTCTTAATTCATTTGTACAATACATTATATTTTATTTTCAATGAAATTTTTAATTGTTTTACAGACTGCATTGTTTTACTAAATTAACAATGCCTAGCTCATTTCTTGCTTAAAAAATAAATAAATGATTATGTTAAATTAATTAATTCTTAATTAATTAAACAGCCAAAGAGGATGAGAAGCGAAAATTACTCAAGAAAAGTTTGGAGTTGCGTTTAAAGCGTTCTCAATTGGAAGGTAGACTTAATCAGTTGAAAGATTATTCTACTGTAAGTAATGATTTTATTCATAATATAATCTTATTTATTATCATATCTTATTTATTATTCCATTATTTCAAAATTTTTCTATGATTCTTTGAAAACAAAGCGAAAAACATGTAGGAAAAAGTGTGATAAAATAAAGGTAACTTAGTCAACAAACAAACTCTATTTATTTTTCAGTTTTTTTTTTTTAAATACGATATCTATTGTTTTCTGAGTAGGCAATATATGTTCAAGTTATGGAAGACAGGGATAATTGTCTCTGTGTCTTGAACTGTTGAGTACCCCCGTGCCAGAATTTTTTCAGGCTTTCTGCTACAAACCACTCTAATATCTTTTTTACAAAATACTTATAATAATAACAAATATTCATGTTACTTATTTAAAGAAACAAACGCGTTGTGCTTACAAAAAAAACTATTTGGGTAAAATAAAACTATAATTTTGTAATATTTTTTTTATTAATATAGTAAACGATATTCTCGCATTTTGTGGGAGGAAAGATGCTCTAAATGCGAAAACATCACCTTTTTCGCAATTTGCATATCATCACATTAAAAAAAATACTAACTAAAAATCATGAAATCCGTAAGAGTAACTGCCAAAAGAAAGATTGACAATAAAATCAGGCACAAAGGACTCTTCAAAAAGCAGCTTACTCAAATGAGTGTTTTGTTTTGAGATTCAGCTATTGTAATCAATAATATAGTATTTAAAATATTGGATTTTAACTATGAGGAAATAATTTGCAATAATTGCTAAACAAAATCTATAGAATCTTGTGTTCAAAAGTATATACTCAAATGTACAATTTGAATTCCCTATATTGTCTGAAATATATATTGAGATATTTTAAAACCATGTAAAAATCAATATCAGTAACTGCTGAAAATACAATAGAAATACTACATGAATTTATGATATCTGCATAAATTGAGTGTTTCAAAAAGTGATTATTTAAATGCATGATTCAAATTTTATGTGTAAAAATAATGTTAACTAAGAAATAACCTGAATTTAAAAACCCTATGGAAACAGGTAACATTAGCAATAACAGTTGAAAAGTCGAAAGAAATTGTGAAATTGTGGCATTAAAAGTAAATAAACAATTTAAGTTTCTCGTCTAATGAAATTTTATTTTAAAAAAATAGGATATTTAATGATTAAAAAAATAGGATATTAATATTAAAAATGGGAAAATTTATGGCAATGACTTTTGAAGGAATGTTTGAAGCACCGCATGGATTAATTGTGATATTAAAGAGTGGTTTCTTGAATCTGCAATTCTAAACTTCAAGTGCTGTAATAATATCAGTATTTTTTAAAAATTCATTAGAATATAAATAATAAAAATCTTCTGGATTTTAGAAAAAATAAAAATTTGTAGCGACAATTGCTGAAGAAAAATTATTACATATATTTACGATGAAATCGACGTGAGTTGTTAGGATTTAAATATTTCAACCAAATTTTTTTAAAAAAGGGGGAGACAAATGTACTCCCCCCCCCCTGATGTGCAAGAAAGGCATCTTTTCAATGTAATTCTGCAGGAAAAAATCTTTCAAACATTTGTACAGAAAAGAAACCTAAAATATTTTGCTTCAAAGAAGAAAAATCTTATTGTAAGAGCTCTGTAACAATCTGTGTCAGATTCGCTGTGTCATCGCAACTCTGCCACTGGGTTGAGAGCTTGGTTGAAATTTTTTGCAAGAAGTGAAATGCTTTTTTATTTTATTTATATATTTTTTTTTTTAATTTCAAAGGTGTCATTTTAATCTATACATATTTATATTTCTTTGCAAAAGTTTTACAATTTTAGAGAAAGAATTCTTATTTACTATATACACAGCTACCTACTCTACTGGATTATCCAGTAGACTGGATTTTGCCAGTTTCTCCTGCCCTACTGGTTTAATTAAAATTCTCCTGGTTTTTGTACATTTTAGAAAATTCCTTAAGATTGAATAAGTTTCCAACACAAAAAAAATCCCTATTGAAATGGAATTTTTGTACAGATTACTGCTTGCTCGAATATTTAAATGAATATTACTAATATATAATAAAGCGAACCTCATTTATAGAAATCGGGTTAAGATTTTTTTTCTTCTAAAGTGTTCAAAGCTCTCATTATAAATAATTTTGAAAAATCTTTTAACTATCTTTGATGAATTAAATGCCTATTAATAAAATTCTAAATATTTTTTATTTTTTAGAATCAGAAAAATCGACAATCAGAGCTTCAGAATTCTTTGAAAGGAACAGAAAATCTTGTAGAACGCATCAGCAATGTGATAAATGGTGTGAGAATGTGCTCTTGATGTTCCTTTTTCCCATTTCAAAACTTATTTTCATGTGCCAATTTCGGTGCTTTTTAAAGATAATTCATAGCATCAGTTGCTGGAGCTTAGAACATACCCAATGAACAATAATTTGGGTAGGGTAATTTGGTGCAGCTACCTTTACTAAAAATAACTGAGATATGTACAGACTTGTAATTAAGTAATTTAACGCTGGAGTTCAGCATCTCACTTATTTATTTGAACAGCACTGTCCATTAATGCTGACATGCATGTTTTCCCTGGTACTACCAAAATGCTGTGGGAGCCTTTGATTAGGCTTTACCTGTACCTGTTTACATTATTTGTATATAACAACATTCATGACATATTTTCTGTGTATATAGTTAGTACTTTTTTAAATTTTAGCACTGTATTTAGCTAATTGAATGAAATACTGAACTGAAATAATTACACATTCTGTGGAATTAATGTTTTACTGTATATAATGTCATAACTACCATTTCTTAAATTAACTACTGAATTTTACCAGTTTCACCTGGTTCAATCAACCAAAAAAAGTTATTATTGTTTATTTATTTATTTTTGTCTATTTTTGAGCATTTTAAGGAAGCTTCTGAAAAATTGCTAATCAAAATCTTTTATTATCTATTTCATTGATTTAGTGTTTAATTACTGTTAAATAATGAAGTTTACCTCATAAATAGTAATCAATTTCAAGCTTTTCTCTTTGAAATATTCTAAAATTTTCAGTTTTTATTTTTCAGAATTGATTTTATGTATATAAAAATGTGTCTTTTTATATTAATTCATTATTTAAATTCTCTTTCTTAATTCATCCTAAACAAAAGGTTTTACCATAATTATAGATTAATTTTCTGCTAAAATTTTCTGCTTTAAAATTGCAGACGCTTGCATTTTTTTAGAAATGGTTATCGTATAAGTTTTTTCTTTATTGATTAAGGAATCATGTGACCTTAGAGAGTGATGAAATTGAATTTTTTATCCTTTGAAACAAATTCATTAAGCAATGGGGGGAAATTGCAAAACTTTTCCTTTAAAATCCCTATTATAAAATGCTTGAGTTTTTTGTGAATTTCCCCAATGATTTCATCTTCTCTATCTCTCTCACAACAATATTAAAATATATTGAAATTGTTTGATTATCCACGAATTTCACTCGCTCATGACCAATGTTATATATATACTATTATTATCTATTTTAAATTAATTTAAGAATATAATAAGCATAATAAAATCATTTTATACTCAATTTAAGTCCCCTATTTAATAATTTTGAAATATCGCAGTTGATTTAAATGTATAGTGTTACATTGCTCTATTTTTTTTTATTGACTATTAAAAATCTCTACATCTGAAATCTTTCGAAGTATAATTAGCTAGAAATGCGTATTTTTCAAAATGTATTGGATTTTTTCTTTTTCTTGTTGGCAGCTATGCATTCTGTTAAAGTATACAGTAAACATTCTATTTTTTTTCCTTCTGATTTTTCAGAAGATAACAATAGTCAACTAAAAATTTATTTTAAGTTACTGCAAAATTATCTTAAATCCAGCGAAACAATTGCAGTTATTGCTCAATATTTTGCCATGAGGAAAGTTCATTGATGTCTCCTAAAAATGTAACTTTGCCAAATATACCAATATGTGGAAAAGTGTTCCGTGAAAATATTGTTATAATTTGCAATTTTTAATAAAGTTAAGTCCTCGTTGGAGTAATTACTGGTTGTCTTTTCAAAAATAATTCTTCTACAGTATATTTGATACATATGCATGTTTTTTTTTTCATAAATCAAACCTGTTTCAAATTTTGTCATGTAAATAGAAAAAAATATCTTAAATATTTCTTGCATAAAATCTTCCCCCTCTGCTTGTTTCATAATTAAAAATATAATTAGATATAAATCTTATATTCATTCAAATAATAAATTTAATAATTTAAGTGTTCTATAATAGTTTTGGATTTTTTTAATGAAAAAATTAGATTTTTCAAAGCTAATTTTGATTTAAAGGTGCAAAGAATTTTTACATTTTAAAAATTAATATTTTTCTACCTCAAATATTTATTTAAAAAATATGTTTAGTTTCATAAATGTTTAAATTTTTTTTTATTATTGTTAAATACTGTAGTGCCATTTTTCTTATTAGTTTAGATATTTATTATTATAATTTGGGTTTTTTTTTTCTTTTTTTAAATCAATAAATTCCAAATATTATGAAATAAGTTTATCTCAAATATCTATTTTAAATAATTTTTTTTCTTAAATTGTTTTATATATTAGAACTATACCAGAACTATTAATATAGGGAATTATAATTTTTAATCTAAGCATTTCCCATTTAAGTGTTTTAGTTTGTATGTATTGAGAATTCAAAAATGTCAAATTTTTAAAATAAGGTTTCCTAAAATATTTATTATAAATAATTTTTCTCTTGTTTATTGGGTATTTAAATTGTAACGTTAAATATACTTCTTCATTTAAATCTTTAATTGCTAATTTAGATTTCAAAAAAAAAAAAAAAACTCTAGTTATGAAATTTTTTTATATATTCTCACTATTTTTGCTAAAAAAAAATAACTGATTATATTATTTAGTATAAATGATTTAATGCAAAAACCGAAAATTTATTAAAGATTGAAGTCTTTATGAGCTATTAGTATCTCAATCAATTTTGTTTGATATAAGAATTTTAAATAAAGTTTATTGCCTGAAATAAATGCATCTTGAAACACACTTTATAATAATGCATTCAAAAGGTTAGTTGTAAACTTTAATCTTGAGTAAATTTTAATGTGAATTGAAAATCTGGTAAATTCAAATGTAATTGTAAAATCTAATAAATTTTACTGTAAATTTTTTGTGCAAAAGTAATTAATATATTGCAATTTTCAATTTTTGAAACGTTTTGCATTGAAGGGTTTGAAAATAAGCATGTTCTATTGCAAATTTGTAAGATTAGCTGTAGGAAAAAAAATTGTTTAGAATATTTATTAATAAATGTACACACAAAAATTTTTGATTTAATGCAATTAGTTAAAGGAAAGTTATCTTAGACACTATGCTGAGAAAACAATTATATTTCATGTTCTTTTCTTATTGAGAAGTTGAAAGTTCTTCAATTTAATTTGGTTAAAGAAAAGCTATTTCGAGAGGAATAATACTAAACAATCATTCATATTTTGTGCTCTTTTTTGAATTGAGAAGCTGAAAGTTCTCCAATTTAATTTCATTAATGGAAAGCTGTTTAGAAAGGATTGATGCAAACAATTATATTTCATTTTTAAAACTCTTTACAAAAAATTTCAGTTCAGTATTTCGTTTGTTTGTTTTCATTATGTTGCAGTTGTTGTCGTGTTTTGTAATAATTGTTAGTCAATTTTTTACTACATAGCTCTAGTACAGTGTTTTTGTTTACAAGTCATTGATTAATTATATAATTTTAATTGAGTATAATCAACTTTTCATAAGTTCTAGCTATGTATGAAAGTACATAAAATATATTTATTCAGAAGAAAAAATGTGATGGCTATATGTTTTAAGTTTTTGATATTTTATGTTTTTTGTTTAAACAAAACAATTTATTGTGGTACTATAATTTTATATTTTGTTTTATTGAGTCAAGTTTATCATGTCACATTTGTGATGTAATCTACTATCAAATACTTTGTGGCTTTTTTTTTCTTTTCATCTATTTTTTTTTTCTTTATTTTTTTAATACAATGACTTGTTCAATAATTCTTTGGTGGTTGGTGCTATGGTATTTTCAAATATATCTCATAAAGTATGTAAGTCAATTGCTCTTCTCAAATTTCGTATGTGTACAGTATAATAACTATACTGAATATTTTGTTTTTTAAATGTGAAGGCAAATGTATTTTTATTAAAAATGTTCACAGATATATTTACATATTTAACGACGTAATTCACAGTATAAATATATGTGAATGCTTACACAAATTTTGAATTGCATTCTTTTTTTTTATTTGCATGCTTAACTTTCAGCAACTAATTCTGAATTGTATTTTAGTTTTTAATCTTAGGAATAGTTTCATCATGCTGTGATTTGTGCTGTACTAAATGATGTGCTGTAATATCTCTTTAGTTGTTATCTGTTTGTCAGTGATCATGTTTGTTGTTATTTTGTTTATTAAGTTTGATAAATGTTGAAATGTAGTATTGCCATTTTAATAATTAATTTGTAATTGAAAGTGAAAAATAAAAAACTAAATGCAGTATTGACGTTCAATAATAAATTTTTTAGTTATTAATATTTGTTTGTTGAAAGTTACAGCTCGAGAGAAGGTTAGTTTTTTATCGCAATAATTTATTAGAAAGGTATAATTAAATTATATTTTTTAGACTGATTAAAAGGCTAATTAGTTCTTTCCTTTTTATTCCCTCAATTGTCTTAAGACTTCAATAAATTTTTAATTGTTTTTCATAATTTAATACATATTACAATATCATTTTGCGAAAATTCCAGCTGCAAGTTTAAATGGCTAATACTGCACTTTTTAATCATAGATTAATACAAAAGTTTTTCGAATCAGTAAAATATTTTTTTCCTAATATAATGTAGCTTTTTTTAAAAAATTTTGTAATGAATTATTTTTATAGTTTAAAATTTAGTCACTTTACTTTGATTATTTTCTTTTTTAAAAGATACTTAGATCTGAAAACAATATATTGCTGATTTTATTGTTATTCTGAACAGTAGATCTGCGTATTGTCATCCAGTAGATAGACTTTATTCTCATATCTTCTACATTGTTTGTTTGGCAATAAAATAAAATTAAAAAAAAAAATCAGTAGTTCAGTATGCAGAAATTATTTATCTATACTGTAAATATGTAAAATCAGCTAAACATATCACTGAAATGAAACTTATTTCTTTAAAAAAATAAATTCAAAAATGTGTACAGTAATAATGTACATAATGGAGAATCTTATGTGACAATTTAAGTTAATTTTATATGTGATATTGTTATTAGAGTTTAAATAATTAAATTATATATTAAAACAATGTCTTTAAATTGTCCAAATTACATGTATTCATTTTCCAAACATTTAAATTACTGGTAATATCGTAAAAAACAATCTACAAATTAGTTTTCAATAAGTAAAAATGAATTATACTATTATTTTATTTTATTGTATTTTATTACAGCCATTGTTAAACTAGTCAATGTTATCAGGTAGATGAGTGTTTTTTTTTTTAATAATGTTATTGTTTATGTGATTTCCAATCTAGTTTTTCTTGCTGAATTGAATATTTTATACTCTTATATCTGCATTTGATCTGCAATGGTATGGTCAGAAATTTAGATCACAACACATAACTTCATTTTAAAAAAAACATGTATCAGAACTCACTGCAGTTTCAAAAAAGACCGTTTTCTCTTTAACGACTTGCATCAAAATTAGTTTTTGTGGCTCACAGTTACATTTTACAGTTTGCCTCAAAACATGCATCAATTTTATGCCAAGTAGACTTTTAAATTTTGGTTATGTGTTGAATATACATGATTAATTTTTGTTTGAACAGATGACGTAATTTTATTTTTAAAAAAAAATTATATTTAAAAATTTTATTCTCCTTGCTAAATAGTTAATACTGCAAATTTACCTTAAAA